GCAATTCGGCGCTCGATCCCAGCACACCAGGATCATGACCTGAGCTGAAGGCAGACGCTTAATGACTGAGCCACCCAGGAGCCCCACAATTTACATTTTTGTCTTGTGTATTTATTATAGTTATAGGTGCTTTATTCCTTTTGTCTTTTAACCTTCCTAATAATTTATAAGTGATTAACCCACCATCTTTACAACATCAGATTATTCTGAGTTGCATATATTCACTCTTACCAGTGAAATTTATACTTTCATATGTTTTCCTGTTACTAGTTAGTACCCTTTAATTCCCACTTAAAGAGTCTCTTTAACATTTTTTGTAAAGTCAGTCTAGTGGTAGTGAATTCCTTTTAGCTTTTGCTTGCCTGGAAAACTTTATTTCTCCAGTTCCGAAGAACAACTTTGCCATGTAGAGTATTCTTGGTTGGCAGTTTTTAAAAAAAACCACAATGTTATTTACCTAAGTAATCTCTACCCTCAACAGGGCACCTTGTTGGCAGTTTTTTACTTTCAGCACTTTGATAGTGAGAACCTGCGAACATCAGCTCTGCCGGCCACCTGAGCCAGGCGATCAAGGGTCATCCCCTGGGTGGCAGCCACAAAAATATCAGGGCACCTGACATGGGCACAAGCTTCTTCCTGGGAGACACTGGTGGTCTGAAGTACACTGGGGAGGGTGTGAAGATAGCACCTGCCCTCCAGGGTTTCTGTAGGGGATTGTAGTCAGCCCTTAGATGTGTGTTTAATTAGACTCTTGTCCCAGAGTCTAAAGCTATAAAGTAATTGGCTTCTTTCCCCACTGTACCCTGGGGTGTCGCCAGTGAAGAACTCTTTACCCATGAGCATAAGCCCCACTGGCCATCAGAGTCAGGTGGTCAAGAATTGTTCCCTGAGTGGCAGCACCAAAACTGGGGTGCCAGGTGGGTGCACAAGCTCCTTTCCAGTGGACCCTGGCGACCAGGATGCAGGCAGAGGGAAAGGGCAAAGACGGCACCTCCTGCCTCCGTCTTTGGTGAGTATATCAGTAGGCCCCTGTGTGTGTTGAATCAGATGCCTGCCCTTTAGGTGGGTGCTTTAAGATAAGCCTCATATACAGAAATACTTGTCGCTTTCCTGCCTCTGTGCTGTGTTCTGGGGTGGGTGAGTCTGTAGGCGTGAGCCCTTTAAGAACTCTTTCTCAGTTTGCTATAGCTTTGTGGGTCTCAGGGATGCAAGCCCTGTTTGTTTTCAAAGCTGGATGTTTTGGGGGCTCACCTTTCAAGTGTAGGTCTTAAAAATTGAGGTGCCAGATGTGGGATTCAAACCCTTCTCCTCAGTGAGAAGCTCAGGGTTGTTAGTTTGCTTCTGATTGTGGGTCTCTGTGCCAGGGGGTGGCATTTATGATGAGATTGTGTCTAGGCTTTTCCTTATGTGTTTTAATGTGGGTTTTTCTTGTTCACCTGTTGTGAAGGAGTGGGTCAACTAGTTTTTGGGTTTCTTTTGGTAGAAACTGTTACATATGTGGTTGTAGATTTGTTGTGTCTGTGGGAAGAGATGAGCTCAGGAGAGCTCAGGATGAGCGTGGAGCCTGCTTCTCCCTCTCCTTCTGCCTTCCGCTCCCCCTGCTTGTGCTGTCAAATAAATAAATAAAATCTTAAAGAAATAATTTTCTAGATAATTCTTTTATTTTTTAGATTTTATTTATTAGAGCAAGAGAGCAGGGGGGAGGGGCAAAGGCAGAGGGAGAAGCAGTCTGCACTGAGCAGGGAGCCCAGGACCCCAAGATCATGACCTGAGCTGAAGGCAGATGCTTAATTGACTGAGCCACCCAGGCACCCTCTAAATAATTAATATTTGAAATAAATTTCTAAATTTTCTTTTTTTTTTTGAAGATTCTATTTATTTATTTGACAGCGCGCGAGACAGCGCACAAGCAGGGCCAGCAGCAGAGGGACAGGGAGAGGGAGAAGAGAAGCAGGCTCCCCGCTGAGCAGGGAGCCCGACTCGGGGCTCGATCCCAGGACCCTGGGATCATGACCTGAGCCGAAGGCAAACGCTTAACCGACTGAGTCACCCAGGCAGCCCCTAAATAGTTTTCTAAATAATTCCTTGTAGTGAGCAGTTACTATTTGCCATTTTTGCCCACCCAGCATCTATTACTTATTTTCCTGGGAGAAACACTTGTTCTCACCTTGGACTACCTGTTTCTGGCTCGAGGGATGGTCATGTGATACAGGCTTGGCCAATCCAATGACTCTTATTCTTTGCCCATAATGTCTGGTTCAGTGATGGATATTTGCCTGAATCCAGGCTGGTCAGAAACTGTGACTCTGCTGGGCTGTGTCTTGGAATTATCGGAAAAGAGAAGCCCTTTTCTCCTGGACTTGAAATTAGTGGTATGTATTGCTTTCATTTGAGCAGTGGCTGAGAGTCACTTTGCCAACTCCTCAGGAAGGCTTTCTTGAGGATGAAGCCCATGCAGAAGAAAGCCAAGCATACACGAGAGACCCAGAACCCGTAGGACCAGAGATGCATATTCGCATCTCTGTCTGATGCAGTGAGAACTATCTTAGATTTTTCCAATGACTTGAGCCAACATACTCCTTTTGTGGCTTAAGTTAATTTGAATTGCTTTTTGCCACTTGTAATCTTCAGGGCTTTATGTCAAGTACTGCCATCCTTGATTTTTAGAAGGGGAAACTGAATCTCACAGTGATATTGCCAAAGTCAAACAGCTGGATAGGGGAGAGGATGTGGAGCTCTTTAGGGCCAGTGGAGCTGAGCCAGATGGAGGCCTGCTCACTTATCACTCAGACCTTCCCCCCGTCCTACTCTCATGGCTTGCCTCACCTCTACCACCCGTGCAAACATGGACATGTACAAGGTCTATTTACAGAGTTCTAGTCAGGCGCTGAGAGCCTCTCCTATCCCTGCAGCAATTTCTAAGATCACTGTGAGTGAGCAAGGTTACTCTGATGAGTTAATCCTGCCATCATTATTGGGAGTTGGCCCAACGTCTCTTGCCCCATCTTAGAGCTTGGGCTGCTTAAGCCTTTTGACCTATACTTTATTCACTCACCTCTGCCATTCCACAGACACAGCCACAGTCCTCATGTCTTGATTTGATAACTTTCTCACTGGTCTTCCTGCTGGGGCCTGCCTGAGGGCTAGAGTTCCAGGAAATAGAAACAACATTTTTATTAATCCTATTACTTATTTTTCTGCCAGTAGCAGGTCCAAAGATGAATGCCCCCCGCGCCACCATATTTTATATGTGTCACCTAAGCGTAATAAGTGCATGATCCATTGTTCTGCACCCATTTGCCATGCCTGGGTAGTAAGCGCAGAGTAGCAAAGGAAGGATGATGTGTTCTAAATTGTGTTCTAAATACAAGTATAGACCGCCACCCTGCCATGTATTCTCACCAAGGGACCCAGCCCCCCTGAGGAGGCCATTATTTGTTACCTATTGAGCACTTTCACCCCCTTCTTCCTTTGTAAATGATTCCGTTCAGGCCTTATAGGAAGGATCTGATTAGTCCCAGATAGGATTTCTCAATCTTAAGACTACTGATCCCTTGGCGGGATAGTTCTCTGTTGTGGAGGCTGTCCTGCGCATTGTTGGGTGTTTAGCAGCATCCCTGGGCCTCCCACTAGATGCCAGGAGCTCCCCTGCCCTAGTCATACAATGAGAAGTGTCTTTAGACATTGCCAAATGTCTCCTTTGGTGGCAAAGTCTCTCCCAGTTGAGGAGCTCTGCAATTGACGAAAAAGGGAATTTGACAGGGATCATCAGAACTATAGGTCCCAAACCTGGGAGGAGGGGCTACTTGGTCTAAGCTTGGAAAGTGGAGGCTGTTGGTTCCTGGCCAGCACCTTCTCCTGGCAGGGATGCCCAGGCAGCCTGGTATAGGATGTGTCAGCACAAAATCTACTCCCCCCTTCCATTTCAGATTCTTTCACGCTCACAGCTTTGAAGCTAATATTAAGGGCATCTTGATGGAGACTCAGTGCACCCGGCCTATGTGGCCCTGTCTTGCTCAGGAAATACCAGGGGGAGAAGGAATGACAGGCTGGGCCCTTTTCCAACACTTGGTGCATCTGCTGCCCACCATTATCTTGCTCCCAGTGGTGCTCTTCATTGAGATATAGGGCTATCTGCTGGGAAGCAAAAGTGACCTTTAGTCAGCTGGCGGTGGCCTCCAGACCCATGGCATTCTTCATTTAGAAAGGCCATGAACTCCCAAGGATGCCTCAGGGCTGGGAAGCTGAGGGGGGAGTTCTGCCCTCACCCTCGCCTACAAGCCCACTCATCGTGCTTGCTTGCCCATGTCATCCCCTCTGGACTCCTAAGATGCTTGGGCTCTCTACCTCTCTCAGATGTCACCGGCGTGGGGGCAGTTATCTAGTGAGTGCTGTGGGGTCAGGCTTCCTCCTTCCCATTTCTTGGTACTTCACCGCCCCCATGTCCCAGTTCTTCAGAGAAGCTTTCCTTGACTTCACCGTGGAAAGTACCCACCAGCTATTCGGTCATGTCACCTCTCCTTTTTTTTTTTTTTTTAATTGACACTCAAAAGTTAAGTTCCAAAAGAACAAAGACTTTGTCTTGATCATCTTTGTGTTGTCCTCAATGCCTAGACCGGGACCTGGCACATAGTAAATGTTCAATAAATGCTTGGGAAGGAATGAATAAAAGATGGGGTTTAATTAACCAGGACCAATCTTCCTCCACATCTTACTAAGTGTTCTCTACCCCGAGTGGCTTCTTCCCCCATGATCCTTGGCACCCAGTCTGTGACCATACAAATCACACACCCTGCAGACCTCAAGCCTTGTGTTGGGCCTTCTCTCCCATGTCTCTCAGGAACTCTTGATCCTTTTTTCCCCCTCACTTCATGTTTCAAAAAACCAGTAGTTTTTACTGACTCCACACCAGACTTGTCCAAACCCCATGAATGGAGTAATCTTTGCCCCAGGGAGTAAAAGTCAGGAATAAAAATAAAACACACACCAGGGAGTAGGGCTGAGTTTATGGTATTCACAGGAACATCTGATAGCTCTCCTGTGACACATTTTAATGATATCAGATAATGACAGTCTGTTGAATCAAAGAATGCACATTATTTATCCCATAATGGTGAAGTGGCACTGTAACACTTTTAAAAACCATCTTAGAAGTTTTTTCTTAGAACCTCTTGTTGAGTTAGAGAAATAGGCTTTGCCAAATGCCCAATTCTGTCTTTGCTTGTTCTGGCAAGCTGGCATCTTGCACCCACTTTCCCCAAGCGTTTCCTTTGGCACAGTCTGAGCCTGACTAGAACATAAGGGTAAGTGCCACCAAACCAGGCACTGCCCCAGCTTCCCAGCCATCCGAGTGCACTGTGGGGGAAGGGGGGGATACTTTTCTGGCCACCTAGAAGGTATCATGGGGTCTGTCTCAACTTTCACTCTTCCTGGATGCTCACAGTGGAGTAGCAGGGAGAAAGATGTCCTGGGTAGACCCCTGGGTCTGTTCCTGCCTCTGGTGTTAATTTGTTGGATGACCTTGGTCTCTGGTTTAGACACTCCCTTTCTCTGATTCTCAGGTTTATCCCTCACCAGGGATTCTCCCAGGTTCCTTCAGCTCTGATACCTGAGGCCCTGTGAGTTTTGAGGGGCAGGTCCACTTAGGCTAGGGGCTTCTCCTGCCAGCAAAGGCGACGGGTGGCTGCTCGGCCATAGGGTTCAATCTGATGGTAGCTTTGTACCTGGTGGAAGGCGAGGTTAGCTCCATCACCCTCCTGGCTGCTCCTGGGTTCCGAAGGGTCATTCTGGGGGATTTCCCCTCTTTCTCTGGCCCTAGGAAATCTCCCTCTCTTTCCTTGCCCCTCTTTTCCTTGTCCCGTCCTCTTTCTGAAGCATCAGACTCAGGTTCCCTTCTGAAATTGAAAAGGCAAAGCCATCTTCTACATGGGCCTGTTGGCATGTCAGTCACGGCAACAATGACAGTCGTAACAGCTTACATTAAAGGTTGTTAGTTTACACTTTACAAAGAGCTTTTAAATACATCATCTCATCAGCCATTTTAGGGTCCCTTGGTTGAGTCAAAGGGGTTCTCCCTTCCCCTGAATCCTGCTCAGGGGGAACCGAGCCCAAGCCCCCTTTCACATATGCCGGTCCCCACACGCAAACATGGACCCATACTTTGAAGCATGCAAGTTACCTGACTGAACTCTTCCTGCCCTGGGAGACTTTGTTTCTAGAATTTGGCTGTTGAAATAAGAGCGTTTTAATCTGCGTTTGTTAGAGAAACTTGCTTTTGGGGAGAATTTTCTTAATCTTGCATTAGGCATTTCATAAAGTCAGGGCTTCCAAAATTGAGGGGAAGGCTCAAAATCACCCTCAAGCCACATTAAGGACCTGGTCCTTTTGGCTGTGCTGGCTGATTGCAGCTGGGTTCGGAAGTGGGCACAGGGCATGGCTGGCAGAGGCAGGCCTTGGATTCTGTGGGGGAGGCCGAGGGAAAGCTGGTAGCCTGGCAAGTCTTCCCAGAGGTCCGTGACCCTGGTTGCGCAGCTCTCAAGATGGTAGGCCGAGTGGGCTTCCTGTTATGTGGAGAGTGGCTAGCTGGGAGTGTTGGCGGTAGAATAAGCCTAGGGTTTACCTGCGTGGGTGAGGTGGGCTGACGGCACGAGGGATGGGGAAGGGTATGGGACAGATCTCAGGAAGAGCCCTTTCAGGAGAGAACTTCGGAGCTACCACAAAGACTTTTGGGACCTATCTGGAAATTGGCATTGTTTAGCTACAACAAACTCAAGTGAACAACTGGGAAGCCCCCAGAGCCTTTTTGGGTGGCAGAGCGCTCTCTCCTCTTCGAAGCCTTGTCATCTTTGCCACCAGTTCTCTTCCTAAATCAGAGCTTGTCTTGCTATTCCCCTACTTAAAAACCCTGCAGGGTCCCTGTGTTCTAGCCTGCCATACATGGCTCTTACTGGTTGAACCCTTGCCTTCATGTCTGCCCCCCTTGATTTCTGCTCCTCAGTGTGCATCCCACACTCCTGCCACCCTGGAACTCTTGACTGTTCCCCATACTGGGTCTTTTCCCTGTTTCACTGCTTTTTAACAGGCCATTCCCTGGAAAGTTCAACTCCCTTTCTTACCCCTGCCCCGGCAGACTCCTATTCATCCCTGAAGACCCAGGATTGGAGATTTCCTAGTCTGGACAGTGACTTCCCTTGTTTATACTGCCATGAGGGGACTCCTATAATAAAGCTGTTGTCCCATGATTGTTTTTGCCCTGGACTGTAGGATCCTCAAAGGCAGATGTTTCCTTCCCTTGAGGAGTAACTTCTGGAGTTAGGCAAACTGGGCCCAAATTCTGGCTCTATAATTTATTAGGCATCTGTTTTTGTGCAAATTCCTTAACTCCTCTGTGCCTCAACTTTCTCAACTGTAAAATGGGTTACTAATGTCTTTACTACAGGGTGGTTTTGAGAATTAAATATGTATATATATGTATATACAAATACACATATATATACATACTTAATATATGTATATATCTAATATATATAAATTAGAATGGTATCTGATGTATAATGTAAGTACTAAGTGAATCTATCTGTTAATAATATTAGAAACACATCCACCATAAGTACACTAAGTACCTGGAACATAATGTATATTAGTACACACATTTTTAAGTAAACTCTTCCATTTTATTTCTCCCTCCTTTTCCCTCCTTCCTTCTCTTCATCCCGCTCTTCCTTATGTTCTTCCCTCCCTATCCCTTCTTTCCCTTCCTCCTTCCCTCATTTTCCCCTTGCCTTGTGCTCTTCCATCTTCCTTTTCTGCCTCCTTCTTGATTCTTGGAATCTTTAGCCCACTGTTGGTCCTCACAGAACCACTAGGCTCCTCTGGGGAACCTCCATGCTGGAAGGTCCTCTGAGCCCCACATTTTCCTGCCTGACACTTCCACAGGGGAGGCTCCCAGGGCAAAGGAGGGATGAGTGAGAGACAAGGAGTTGGTGTGAGCAGCTGAGCCCCTGAGCCATCTGTACTAGGCTGAGGGGAGCTGAGAGACAGGGGCAAGTCTCCCTCAGGCAGGCTGCCTTTGCTCACATTTCCTGCTATGTAACTCTGTCTAGAAGCTTTCTGGATACTGGGGAACAGAACAAGACTTGAACACAAGCAGGAAAAATAGTAAAGAACATCTACTTTCTTTTCCTGGTAGGGCTTGTCCTATGAACAACCTGAATCTCTTGCGTTTCTGCTCTTTAGAAAAGGCATCTAGAGCTTTGAGCCTTACTCTTCTACTTAATCAGAGATGTGGCTTAAGGCAAGATACAGAGTTTGAGAGAAGCGTGTTTCCTTGTCTGTGAAATGGGGCCATCTGGCTTTACCCTTCTTATGGGAGCAGGGATTGCACGGAGCATGGATTACACGGATAAAATCAGGTACAGTACAGATATGCGTTGGAAAGTGTTGCAGATGAGCAAGGCGTTGTGATGACAACTTATGAGGGTGGCCTGGAGGATCAGGTGGCAGAGGCTTGTTTGTCCTATAGCAAGATCCTCCCAGAACTTTCCAGAGTTGGACTTCTACCAGGGCTATGGGCAGGCTGGGTTCCTGGCCTTCCTCATCTCTGCAGCCCTGGCTGCCTGCTCTCCTAGTACTGCATTCCAGTGTGAAATGGGCTGGAGGGAAGAGGATGGGTCAGAACCTTGAGAGGAAGTGCCGGTGGTTGGGGCCTGAGGAGATGGCCTTGACCCTTCTTCCGTTGACTCACCTGCAGAGGGGCAGGGAAAGAGGAGGTGTTTTAAAATGTGGCAAAGCAGGCTCAGATGAAGCCTGTGGCCGAGTTTCGAACAGCCCCGTAGTGGCAGGCAGGGCCAGCCCGGAGGGAAAAGAGGGGTCTGCAGTAGGTTCAGACCCCGCTGGCGGCCTGGGGCAGGTGGGGGCAGCGACTGTGAGGGGGAGGCAGTGGGGCTGCAGCGGCTTTTCCTGGAAGGACGGGCTTTGGCAACCAGGGCTTGAAAGCTGGGTGCTTTTAGGGAAGAGAAAAAGAGTCATCAAAAATAAGAAGAAACAAAGAAAAATCTTTTCCTTCTCTTCCTCTTATCATTCCTTTTCCTGAGCTCGGTAAGCAGGTCTTGGTTTCTGCTGACACGATACTGTTTCATCAACATAAAAACGTCCTTCTTCCTCCTCGGACAGGCTAGCACTTCTTTATTCTTACCCTTTTGTTTTAAAACATTTTTATTAGTCTTTTTTCTTAAAATTTTTAACAGCTGTTTATAAAAACGTGACCAATACACAAGACTTGGTAAAAATAACTCACTATATGGTACATATACTCAGACGGTGTGATATATTTATATAATAAAAGATGAAAATAGTCACTTTCCATAATAAAAATAAGTTCTATTTTTTGTTTATTTTACAATATACTTAATATTCTCTTCTTCTGCTTCCTCTCCAGCTTCTACTTCTTCACCTCGAATCTCGAGGGGGTCCCACATGGCTGTCCCAGCCCCACGAAGCTGGAGTCTGAGAGGTGGGGGGCAGGCGGGCCGACGGCCTTAGGAACACTGGCGGCAGCCACACTCTAGGTGTCTTTCCACCTCTTCCACGAACGAGGAGCCGTCGGTGCACTGGAAGACGTATTTCCGCCGCTTGCTGCGGGTAGGCTGGCAGCACTGGGGCCCACAGCCCCCACGACACTCCAGGATGGGCACTCGGGAGGCCGTGGCACACGAGGCGTAACCTCTCTGGCGGTGGATCACCTCTCGGACAACCTCCCCCCGGCACGGGTTCTCTGCAGAGGGCGGAAGAGGTAAGGTCAGGGCATGGGTGGTACAGATGATCAGCCAGGGTCCGTTCCTGGGCAGGCTGTTGGGAAACATTTGTGTGGTGTGAAGACCCTTCGTACTTCTTCACGCGTCCCTCCATCTGCCCGCCCACTAACCCATCCAGCTGTCCCACAAATACGGAGTGCCTTTTCTGCGCCAGCCTCGCTGCTAGATCTATAACTAAGTCCTGAGCATTGCATGGTGACAAAAGCAGGCCCCGTCCTTTCCTTCAGGGAACTCAAATAGCACACTAGACGTGGCCAAGTACTAGGCTGTGGGCTAAATCCTGTCACCAAATCTTGATTGTGCCACCTATACTTAGAAACCAAATTAAATGTCACCATTAAAAACCCCAGGTGATCAATTACATACTGGGATTCCTGGCTTTGCTGAAAACCAGGAAGTGTCCAGTTTGGCCCAGTCCCCACTGGTATAGAGTTGAGATACTAATTCTATAATCCCCAAAGTGAATGTGTTTGTAAGGATAAACTGAGGTCGGGGCTACACCGGAACAGAACAGGGCGAAGCGCCTGATGCAGCCCAGGGGTGTGTCTCTGGGACATGCTGCTTGAGGGGAGAGCTGAATGAGGAATTAATGAACCCTGATAGCTGCTTGAATCTTCCACTCCCCGCCATACTGTCCCTGTGACATTGGGAAGAAGGCTAGAGCAAGGCCCTGAGGAGAATGACGAGCTTAGATCCCCAGCCCTGCAGCCTGAAGGAAGACATCGGCCATCCTTGAGCCGGTTTCCTTGTTTGGAAAATGGTGACCCATTTCCCTGTTCTTCCTACTGCTTCACAGGTTACGAGCCTCAGAGAAGACTGAATGAGAAAGGGCTGAATGCGTTTTAATGAATTATGGTAAGCATGATGTAATTTCTTTAGATTATGAGATTGTACACACAGGCACTCACTATCTTGTAACAATGTGGGACAGGGGACGAGAGCCGATGTGGCAACGTGGTCACTGGGCAGTCTGGTGAAGGGAATGTGAGCGCTCTTTATCTTCTGACAAGTTTTCTGTTAAATCTCAAATTATTTCAAAATATATTACTTAATAAAAATTTTTAAAACCTGGTCAGTTTGGGTTGAGAACAGTATTTCAATGACGTATAAATGTGAAAGTCCTTTAGAGACCAACAGGGTGGTCTGCCTAGGAATCTGGGCGGAGGGAGGAAGACTTCTCCGTTTCCACGCAGGGTAAAAAACCCTCCAAGGGGAGGTAGATTTGAATTTTGATATAGTTCATTTTGAAATAGGCTCAAATACAGGAAAATAAAAACTGAACACACTACACGGGCCAAGGGCATGGAGGGGAGAAGGGGGGAGGAAGGAGGGCCTTGCTGCGCTGTGGTGCGGGGCTAATTAGTTACACAGAGTGCACAACTGCTTCAGAGAGGGAGGGTGTTGCCCCCATTTTCAAGGTGAAGGGACTGAAGCTTAGAAAGCGACGCCACAAGATCCTGCAGCCCACCTCTGCCCCCGTGGCCTCTCCGGCCCCTCCCCTGCGCACAGTGGACCCACCTTGCTCGCAGTGCTCCCCACTGAAGCCAGGCTGGCACAGGCAGTAGGGCTCCCCTCGATCTGAGGAATGGCACTGCCCCTGGTGACACTTGAAGGCAGAGCAGGCGCTGGAGTCATTCTTGCGGTCACACGTGGCCCCGCCGTAGCCTTCTGCACACTTGCACACATACGAGGTCCCGGTTGCTACACATTTCCCATGGTTGCAGCTGTTGGCAGAGGACAGGATGAGAAGGGGGAGGGCAGAGAGCGGGCCGCGGAGGCTTTCTCTGTCCACCGCAGCCGGGGCCCAGGCTCAGAGCGGGGCGCCCAGAGCTGTGGAGCCTTAGGTCTTCTCCATCCCACGGTCCGCCGGCTAGCCCAGGGGCCCAGCCTCAGCGTCCGACCTGCTGGAGGCTCGGATCCCCCAAAGTCAGCTGCCAGCTGGGGCCACGAGGCTGGCTGGCTGGCCATTTTACAGGCATTAGAAGTCACCTATCCAAGTGGCAGGTCCCTGCTCCGAAGCAGTGAAGCAGTCTCTAAACGTTTTAATTGCTCTGACACCTGAATTAACAATGTCACGGTCACCGCCACCACCCGGCAGTGCCAGGCATTGGGCTGAGTGCTTTACACCGGACATCATTCTTAACCTTCTACAGTCCCCCTCTCCTCTGCTGCTTCGATGCCGCAGATAGTCTTAGGCACATCTCCAAGACGGAGAAACGGATGCTGAAGTTCACCGTCCTTCTGCTTGACGGAGACAGGTACTCTCAGCTAGGTGCTCCCACACCATGTCTCTAAGGGGGAGCTGCTCCTGCCCGCTTGAGCAGTCACAGTGATCTGGGTATGGTCTGACTGCACTCCCTCCGCCTTTCCCCAGGGCCGCTTCTCGGGTGGGGACGGGCTAGAGGCAGGGACTGAGTCCGTGCGGGGAGCCTGGCTCGCAGGACACTGACCTGTGGCCCAGACAGGGGTCCCGGGCCTCCTGGTCGCACAGTGGGCCCGTCCAGCCTGGGTGGCACTCACACACCACGCTGTCCTTCTCCACGGAGTGGCACAGGCCGTGCTTGCACACGGTGCAGGACTTGCAGCCCGGTGACACTCCCAGGGACTGTGGCGGGAGGGCCTTGAAGTCTTGCAGCTCGTTGTTGATGCGCACCTCGTGGATGCAGCCGTGGAAGCCACCCAGGGGCCGGTCCGTGCCCTGGCGCAGGGCCAAGAGGCCCGTGGAGGTGGGGATGCCTGGGGGAGGGGTGCCAGGACAGCCGCCTGAAGACCCTCCCCTGCCCACCAGCCCAGGCCTCTCCTCAGAGCGCCAAGGAGGTCTCCACGTGCTCACAGTTAAGCGCTCCCAGCTCTGGGCCTCTGCTGTTCAGGTAGAGGGAAGGGACCAAAACCTGGGACCTTGTCCACACAAGGACTCCTATCCTTTGCCTTGCACTCTCTTTAAAAAAATGTGAATTTGTTGCCAACATTTTAAATATAGAAAACTTCCCACAAAAACCCTTATTTCAAGCTGCTCTAGAAAACAAGAGAAGATTTGGCTAGCCACAGGGCCACAGTGGCTGGACAGAGGAGGACCACCCCCTCCAGGCAGGGAACAGAGGGTGTATCCCATTCCTCTGCTGTCCCCACCAGGCCTCCCCTGCCCCTTGTCACAGCCCTGCAGAGCACAGGGTGGGAGAGCGAGAGTTTGGGAGAGAACGGGTGTGGGGGAGCAGCCTTGATGTGTGGAACTTCGGGGATCTTCAGTGGGGGGAGAAACTGTGTCCCTTCTGGGACTTTTTTCTTTTTTTAAAGATTTTATTTGAGAGAGAGAGAGAGAGCACATGAGAGGGGGGAGGGTCAGAGGGAGAAGCAGACTCCCCGCTGACCAGGGAGCCCGATGTGGGACTCGATCCAGGGACTCCAGGATCATGACCTGAGCTGGAAGGCAGTAGCTTAACCAGCTGAGCCACCCAGGTGCCCCCTGGGACTGCTCTTGACCGAAGGCTTTCCCTGGGCCCTTGGCACCTGGACCAGCTGTTAACAATGCACATTCCTGGGCCTTCCAGGGGGGCATTCCTTGGCAGGGAGGTTTTGGGAATCTCTTTGTTGAACAAGCTGTTCTGGTGACTTTTTTTTTTTTTTTTTTTGCACATAACCCTTTTAGTACATACCCTGGGCTGCATTTCAGGCCCAGGCTCTGCCAGCCAGGTGGCTACTTCCTTTTCGGCCTGCATCTCAAACACGTACTACATGTGTCACCTGAGCCTCACAGTGTCTGACATGGTGGCAGAGCAGAGGGAATGTGACCTGAAGTCTGCAGATGGTGGGGCCTGGATTGACCTCCATCTCCTCCCTCCCCATTCCATCTTCACCTCTTCCCACCATTCCCACCATCTTCATCTCCTGAACCACTTGTACTTCCCCAGAAGGAGCCTGTCTTCTCTCCTTTCTCCTCCTCCTCCCCGCAATCTGGCTGTTTACCCTTTAGGGATCAGCTTGGTTGTCACTTCCTCCAGGAAGCCTTCCCTGATATGCTTTGGCAGTGGATACTGAGATCAGGGGAACCCCAGCCAGTAGGCCGGGGTGGGTACCCAAACACAGAGGGTGGGTGGGAGGTGGAGGTGGAGGAGGTGGAGATGGGAGGGGAGAAGGGCCTTACCTCCGAGGTAGAGGGGACTGTTGATGCCTACTGCCGGCTGCTTCTGGAGCTTTCCCAGGCTCTTGGGGGCTCCTTTATCCACCACCAGGTTCAGGGTCTGGTTTAGCATCACCAGCTCCACGCTGTGAAACTGCCCATCATTCACAGTCTCCACACTGGGCAGAAGAGAAGGGGCGAGAATGAGAGGGTTTGCTGGGTGCCTCCCACAGCCAGGCACTGGGCCATGAACTTGGCCAACATTACTTGCATTTTGCTTTATTTTTCATTTGGAAATAACTTCAAACTTAAATAAGTTGCAAAAGTAGAAACAGTACAGAGAGTACTTGTTACACGCATAGATTCTCCTATCAGCCCCATTTGCTTATCATTTATTTTCTGTCTGTATGTCCATCTCCATAGCCATGCATACACATATATGTATATACATACGTACATAGTTTTTCTGAATCCTTTAGAAGTTACATACCTTACCCTTATCCCCAGATGCCTCAGTGTGCATTTCCTAAGGACATGGATAATCTCCTACATAAGTACACTGCAATTTTCAACTTTGGAACATTGGTACCACACTTGTATCTAATCAGGCTGAATTTTAATTTTTCAGTGGATCCAAAAATATCTTTATAGCATTTTTCCCCTTCCAGTACAAGATTCAGCCTAGGGTCAGGCTGTGCACTCGGTTATATTATTCGCATTTCTTTCTAGAATTTAACAGAGTTAAGCAAATGCCTTCCTCAGACCGCCTTCTCAATTTTTACTCTATGGCATGCCACTAGGACCATTATTAACATGTTTTTCTTCAGTTGCTCCATTTCCCCCTTAAACATCAGTAAGAATATAAGCTAGCAGGGCGCCTGGGTGGCTCAGTTGGTTAAGCGACTGCCTTCGGCTCAGGTCATGATCCTGGAGTCCCGGGATCGAGTCCCGCATCGGGCTCCCTGCTC